TCCCTTCCCTTCCCTTCCCTTCCCTTCCCTTCCCTTCCCTTCCCTTCTCTTCTCCTCTTCTTTTCTTCTCTTCTTCTCTGCATTTGCATTAACTAGCAAAACCACACAGATGATTAGAGAAGCTCTAACACATAAGAGACAGTTTGAAGCAGCAGTGAAACCCTAGGTCTGAATCTTTCCATCAGAGGAAGGCTGACCTTCCTAACCTCTTTGACCTTACTGGAGGGCAGCAGAAGATTAACACAGCATCTGGTTTTATAAGGCCCAATACAACACCATAATGATCCAAGGTAAAGTTCATGCCTATTCTGTAGGGATGTTCAGTACAGGATACAGAATTAAAGGAATTAAAATTGAAAAGCTGCAACAAGCAAATAAATCATCCACCAGGATACAAATTGCAACTGTTGTTGAGTTGCATTGCATATTTGAACAGTCGTTCAGTGACATACCGGGTGCAGAGCACTGATCTCAAGCTAGCTATCAGAGGGCAAATATGAACATATTTTGCACTGTCAGTGCCAGTAAAAAGGATGGATTTCAAATGTAGGCTTGTTCTACCCTCAGCTCAGTAAGCTCAGTAAGGATGAGTCTTCCTGATCACAGCCGTGCTGGTCAGGGTGGAAGGTCAGTCACGCTGCAAACAAGCTGACATTTCAAAGCCAGACCAAGATTTCTGTTGTTAAGGAAATGTACAGCATGACTGTACAACAGTAAGGAAAGAAAACATTTTCTTTTTTTTTTTTTTTTTTTTTTGACTGTTGAATTTCTTGAACTGTACAGAGGTTGGTTAATGGCTGGAAAGAGATTTCATTACACTGAATTTAAAAGCTACCAGGAAGCTTAGAGGAAAAAATGAAAGTTCTTTTTAATACCTGCAAATAAATCAAAATTAACTGCAGTACTCCATTCATGTTTATTGTTGGGTGTAAAATTCAGGATGTATCTCTTCTAAGGTATAAGCCAAGCAAGAAGAGTTAAGAGTGTTTCAACAAACCCTGTGGCATACTATTTTGAAGATGAGCTATGATGATATAGCTAGGCTGGGGAAGTGAAAACGTTTTCTTCTAATTTTCAGAGCAGACACAGAACTGTTTCACTGTTTCTGCAGACAATCATCAATATACTTGCATAACCAAGAGGTATTAAAAGGAAAGAGAAGATGCCTCATGTTCTACTTTGGTCCTTCTACACAGCCCTGAAAAGGACAGCAATACTTTCCTATCTTTCAGGCCATTAAGGAACTGTAGATAAGCTTAGGAACTGTAAATGATTTCAAAGTTTTGTTGTTGTTGTTCGGTTTTTTGTTTTGTTTTGTTTTTTAATCAGTATCTGAGACCAATATATTCAAAATAAAATTCTACATCCAAAGCAAAATTATACATTTTGCTGAGCAAAACAGAAGAGTACAAATTACTTTCCTTCATCCTTAAGTAAATAATTTGTTGCTGAAAAAAGGTCTACAGAAGATACAAGGAACAAGGACTCAAGTAACAGGCACAACGAGTGGAGAAAAAGTTCTAGCTGACACACACGTCTGCATTTGTGCAAGAAATGAAAGAACATATTGTCCTACTGCATGGCTTCTCAGGCTTCAGTCTGCTCACTCTAGCGGCAAGGATCTCTTCTGCTGGCTGGCCCTTAAATGGAGGATTCTTCTACTGACACAACAGTTTCACATTTACAGTGAGTTAGCAGAAGCTTTACTAATCAAAATCAAAGTTAATTGTCAACTTTCAAACTCAATTGTCGACTTCGCAACATCTGTGGCTGCTTCATGTCCTTCTGTGACTGAAAATTACAGGATATACATTCACGATAGAGAAAAAAGACATGATAGACTTCAGATCCTCTTTATTCCAGGCTGTTACCCACCTGAAACAAATGATATAAAATCTCAGAGAAAAATGATATACAGTGACTGGACCTGAAACAACCTGCAACCTGATGATCCAGTTCCCTTCAGAGCAGGCTAGGATTCCTGAATGCTTCTTGGTTCAGTATATAGACAGTAGAAGTGAAGGAACACCTTCTGAGTAAAATAGCTAATATGCTATTTGTCACTGATTCAGTAACAATTTAAGCCCAATTCTCTTAAATGAGGTCTATGTAGAAAAAATAACGTGGCTTATTGAAAAAGAGAACTTGTATCTTCACAGTTCAAACACCATTTTCAACCACAATGCGACTTCTCTTTTTTTGGTGACCACAAGTGGTTTCGCAGTAAATGGATTAGTGATTTCTACAGGCCCATCCAGAAAGGGTGCTGAGGGAAAGGAGCCTTTCCTTTTTTTTTGGTCTGTTCTTCTGCCACCCTGTTGACACGCTCCCTGAGTGTGGTGACACTGATTATACATTCACAATTGTGATCTCCCCCAGCCATGTTTATGTGGTTGCTGCAGTGATGTTTGTGCCTGTTTTATACTGTTTCACTTGCCACTGAATATGAGATTGAAGATAGAAGTTAGTTAGGATTTATTTTTCATTTTAAAATTTCATTTCCCTTTAATCTTCAAGTTCTTCAAGTGTAATCAACTGTCGCTTCACCTTTTGGAAAATAAGAGTACCACACTGTATGACCTGAGGAAAAAAATAAAGATTTGAGAAACACAGTGCTGCAAAAACAAACAAACAAACAAACCATGCATAAATCCTCGGAGAACTAACTTACTGCATTCAGACAATTCAGAAATTAAAAAAAAAACAACTCTGAAATACACTGCAATTTGTGGCTCTGGGGAAAGAAACAGAAACTCTTCCTCACCTTTTTTTACTTCATTTTCAATTGCAGAACATTCTTCCTGAAATTGGGTTAATATTTAAGCTCTGAAACTCAAGGTGTGTATTTTAGACTAGTTATGGAATTCAATTTTCAGCTTGCAAAAAAATTACTGAGAATTGTAAAAGTCTACATTTAAAGATAAACTTCAGAGTGACAAAATTTGTCAGATATTAGACAGATAAGTCTGCCAAGGATCATAAAATCTGTTTACTAAATATAAATATCTATATTACAAACCTGTAAAATCATGACACTTGTTTATATTGATATCAGTATGTCACTTCCAACATACTTGTTATGAACTGGCATCACTGGGGAATAGAAAAATACAAATTAATAGCTGTTTCCCACAAGTTCAGAGGCATCAGAAGTGGGCAACACAGTTTGAAGCTTCCTACTACAGTAGGAAATTCAGAGGAAAGCTGAGGATAAACAAAGAGCAATTTCTCTAAGAGAGGTCAGAAAGTGCATTGCAATTTCTTCTAAATATAGTCAGGTAATTCTGCTTGGTGGCTTTGCTTAACAAAATTTTGCTTGAAATTGGATGTTTTATGCAGGAATAGCAGCTTTTTGCTGATATTAATGCAAATGTAAATACTAAAGGCACAAGTCTATTTTTCTTTAGGTCCCTCATACTCATCATCACATACTGATATTTCCATTTCACCTCAGGACTCACTGCTCTGCTGTGATACAAAAACAGAAACAGCTTTTGCATAATTAATGAAACACAGGATCTGAAAATAGTCCTTTTTTCTTCCCTTTCCTGTCTACCCCATTAAAAAAGCAAGCAAAACCCAAACAATAGCGCCTGAAAGTTGAAGGCCCTTGAGAATAACTACAAGCTAGCAGGTGTCAGAAGAACAGCATGAAGCAAAAAGCATCACAACTAAAATCAGGACTCTGTTTGAATGGAAGGATCTACACAGTGAGGAACAAGAAGTCAAAGTTACCAGAAATGAGGAAAAGAGCAATGAATGCAGTGGGGCACAGACATGAGGAGAGTACCAGCATTTACTGGTGAAAAGTGGATTACATTTTTAGCTATTTAGACTGTAACCACCAAGACAGGTACTTACAATTCCTTGAAACAGGCGCTGGCTATAAAATAATTGTTATGCAAGGGGAAAAAAAGTGCCTTGTAAAGTGCTTCCATGTGTTTTATCTCTTTATGTATATATTCAACAAACGGAATGCTGCCAATATTCCTTAGCAAAAATATTTCCCCTTCTACTAAAATATGCACATACTTACACAGTCAAGAAATGAAGACTAAAGAGCCTATGACTGATAAAAGTACTTTGAAAGTATTGATTCCTACTGTTTACTTTCCTTTACAGTAAAGACCCATGCCACTTCTGTGAAACCTTCATGCTGAGGAGTCCTGTATATGCATACACACACACACACATATATATATATATTTTTTTTTTCCTAAAAGATTGGGATTTTCCACTACTCATTCTTCCTCATGTTTTCAGACATAGTTAGAAGCTCCTTTAAGTATGGGAAAAGGGTCTGTAAGCAGAAGGGGCTGCCATCTGTTTCTGCCAGACCTTTTGGAAGATATGAAGAGAAGTCAACAGAACTTCATACAAAGATTTGCACTCGCAGGTTTTCCCCTGGTGCTTCTCTAGTTTCCTTCCTCCTGTGCTACTTCAGTTATTTTAATACAAAGCATATCACCATGGGGGGTGTTGCCTTGTCTTCCAGATGGACAACTGATTTATCAGAGGAGGTAAAGCCAATGTATCACAGAATTGTAGCTGTAGGAAAGGACCTCTGGGGATCACCGAGTCCAACCCTCTGCTAAAGCAAGTTCCCTCACATTTGTATGATACTTCCCATGTTCCACTTTTGCCTATTGCCCCTTGTCCAGTTTCTGCAAAACACTGAAAAAAAAGTTTCATCCATTTGACTCCCACACTTCAGATATTTATAAACAGTGATGAGATCCCCTCTCAGTCTTCTCTGAGCTGAATAGTTCCCGGTCATTCAGCCTTTCCTCATATGGGAGATGCTCCAGGCTCTTCCTCATTTTCTCTCTTCAGAAGTTGCCTGTCATTCTTGAACTGAGAGGCCCAGAACTGGACACAATACTCCAGATCTGGCCTTACCAGGGCAGAGAGCGAGGATCACCTTCTTTGACCTGCTGGCCACGCTCTTTTCAATGCACCCCAGAATCCTACTGGTATTCAACTTTGTCCTCAAGAAGCATGAGCACTTCTTCCACACAGCCAAAGCCAGCCTAGTCACACAGCAGCTGAGGTCAGTGTCTTTGAGCTTTGAATGCCTTCAGCCTCCATCTATGCTGGATACCGACATGTGAAGCAGGAGTGAAGCAGGGCAAGAGCTCTGCTGCCAACAGGCACTGCCTGTACGCGGTGTTCCTTCCCAGCAGCTTCACCTGGGAGCTCGCAGTTCCCATTGCTGCTTGCACGGCAGTGCGAGGCCGAAAACCCCCG